TACAAGTATGAGGTATAATATTGCATGTGACCAGCGTTTGTGTAAGGAAATGTTGCATGGTTACAGTCTTTTAAATACGTGAGGGGAAACTCGCTTGTGTTGAGAGGGTTCCAAGAATATTGAAACGCACAAACGCACAACGACAAGTGAGCAGATATTTCATCAAGTGCAATCGGGCCGAATCGCAAACATACTGTGATACGGAGAGCATCGCATGGTTTCTATTAGGTTGGGTAAGCCAACGACTAAGTACGATCTAGTACAGGAGTTGGGAGTACCCAAGTGTGCAGAATGGTCCGTACCGGGACCGCACAGGCGCGTAATGGTCACATGACAGGGGTCTGGGATCACAATACATTTGACGGCGCCATTGGCACCAAGCCCCAAGACCTTTGGAAAGCCAAGCATGGATTTCGACAGATCATAAGTTTTAACAGGCGTTGAACTGTTGATGCGCGATGGTAGATGGTAATTAATTCGCTCTGTATATTTCTAACTACTCCCATATACCCTGATCCATCCTGATCCATCCTCATTCATCCTCGGAAAATCTACTGTTTTTAATCAACCTGGGGAGCAGGACTTGCCCATCGGAGGCTCTGCGCAAGTACTCTCCCAACAACACACTCATTCCTGCTTGTTCGGCAGCATTCACCCACTCGTCGAGTGAAACGACCTGAAACTGTTGGCCCGAGCTCGATTCCATCAAGGGCATGATTTCATCACGTCCAATCTTCGTCTCGCCAGATTCATACAAATACGTCACAGCCTCCGTAGTGGCGATACCAGATTGGTAAACGGCCTCGAGGAGTTGGCGTGCGGCCGACTGTACGGAAACCAGATCGAAGACTCCTGACCATGAGCTCGAGTCTGGCACTTTCTGGGTTTCTTTGGTGAACCGCATGACATTACCCATAAGATCAAGTTCCGGCGCATCGGTACCGGTGATGCTCGATGGGCGGTGTATCCATACCGGCAGACCAAATCGACGGTTGACGTGCTCGAGATATATTTCGCTCACCCACTTGGCAGCGATGTATCCATCTGTTGGTCGAGATGGAGGAGGATATGACGATACAGACATCTCGCCGAAGCTTTCTTGACCAGTAAGCCGTGCAACACCAGCCGACGAAACAAAATGTAATGGAATACGCCGGGGCAATGCAAGTTTGACGATTTCTTTCGTCGATGCCACATTGATCAGCTTGAGAGTCTGATATGTTTTCATGAACGACACATCCGCGCCATTGTGAATAACGATGTCTGCACAGGAGAATATAGATTTGATCTCAGATTCAGATAGTCCTAGTTGAGGAGCCCCCAGATCACCGTAATGCAAGTGAACTTTCGGGTGGGAAAATAGTTCAGATAAACCCGATGATCGTTTTCTGACAGCAAGACAATGAACGGACAAAACGTTTTCATCATGTATAAGACCTCGGAGGATTTCTTTGCCAAGGAAACCCGTTGCGCCAGTGAGTACCACTGTCTTGACCCCCGAGGCGATAATATGGGTGCTCTCATAATTCAGAGGTGGAGTGAGGTCCGTTGCGACTTCAATCTCCGCATCCCAATTCACATCCGGCTCGAGTGCGGGGCGAGATATATCTTGAATTCTGGCCGCCATTCCACGTAGACTGCTGGCTTCGAAAAGTTGATACAATGCCATAGATGTACCGAACTTCTCCTGGATTAGAACTTGCAGGTTGACAAGAGCGAGGGAGCTTCCACCAACGTGGAAAAAGTCAGATTCTGAATCAATCGAGTGAAAGCTGCTGAGTTCGCGTGGTAGTGCCTGTCGCCAGAGCTGACGCAATGATTGTTCAAATGCCGTGAGGGTGCTGTTGTCCGGCAGCTGGGATGAAATAAATGGAATGGAAAGTGCGCTGACTGCGACGCGATCAGTCTTGCCCGAGGTATTTTGGGGAATGCTTTCAACTGGAATGATAGCAGCAGGTTTCATATGAGGTGGCAATGGCAGCTCCTGGAGAAGGCGGGCGAGAAATTGAAGTATATTTTCAGATTCGTGTGTGGCAGCCATTATAACAAAGGCAACAAGAAATTGATCGCCCTCAGATTGGTTTGCATCTAAACGAACCGATACCACAGCTTGTGTGATAGCTCCAGCTGAAGAACTGACGATCGCCGTCTCGATCTCTTCGATATTGATGCGAATTCCCCTCAATTTGATTTGGTTATCCCCGTCCATGCGCCCGAGGAGAATAAGACCACCATCGCGATTGAGCTTTCCGCGGTCTCCAGTGCGGTGAATTGTTGTCCAGTCTTTCTCTTGGAAAAATTTGCTTGCGTACCGATCACTTGAAAATCGTTCGGCTGTTTTGGTGCCATCAAGATAGCCCTGGGCAACTCCTGCACCACCAACGACCACTTCCCCAGGAATTCCGATGGGAACAGGGTTCAAGGTTTGGTCGACAATGTAAACGGAGTAGTTTGGTAGTGTATAAAGAGCTTGCGCAGGGGATGTTGATGTGGAACCCAGCAGGTCGTACGGAACTTCACTGGCTGAGCATGCAACACTGATTTCCGCCGGCCCATAGGCATTTATCAGTTTGAGGTCTGGCCGATGAAGATTCTTGATCTCTTTGATCAACCCACTTGGCATGAATTCACCACCACATACCGCGGTTGATAAGCGAGAGTTACTCAGATGGGAGCGACCATAACGCAACCAAGCGAGATATTCGGTGGGGGTCGCAAGGGTGCACGTCACATTCTCTGATGCGATGAGTCGCGTGAGAGCAATGGGATCCCCTCGTGTGAGATCAGATGCAATCACAAGGGTCGCCGCAGAGCATAGAGAGACCATGATCTGCCATAAAGACGCATCCCAAGCATATGATGATTGATGCAGGATGGTCTCATTCCCCTGCTTAAGTTCCCAGACGACACTGGATGACTGAACGTGGTGAACATATGCTGAATGCGCAATCATAATTCCCTTTGGGACACCGGTTGATCCGCTGGTATACATGATCACCGCTGTCTGACTTGGGACAGCCATGTTTCGGATGGGGCGTGCAGTAGAGGCGTTTAGGCTACATACGTCGATAGGTTTTGCCGTCGTATGCAGAAGCGTATAGTCAGGCATAGATTTTGTATCAACCAATACCATCGGTGCTTGTGTTTCTTTCATGATCATTGCGAGTCTGTTCATCCCCACCTTTGTGTCCAATGGAATGTAAACACCACCGACACGCAAAATGGCCATGAGAGAACATATCCAGTCTGCACTTGGAGACTGTAAAATACCAACACGGGTGCCTGAGCCAACTTCGTTGCGTAGGAGTTCGTTGGCAATAACATCGATCCGACGCTGGACTTCACTATAGGTCAAGGAGTTTCCATCGTGGTTCCTCAATGCGACACGGTCTGGATAACGCGAGGCAACCTCATCCAGGCGATGGACGATAGTCACAGGCCATTCATCTCGCAGCTCGGGTCCTGCATAATACCATATTTAGCAAATGACCTACAACTAGTAAGGGATGATTGACTTGCCTCGGCCCGCAATCACTGCCTCTTGAATGTCATCTTTCGAATGTAATTTCGGCCAGGTCACCCGGGTTGCTGGATTCTGGAGGAAAGAACGAAGGATATTGACATAGGAACTGACCAGGATTTCTGCATGCTCCATTCCATACAAGCTAGTCTGGGCAGACAGGTGAATTAGCGTCTCGCCGGCACCGACATTGCCAACATCTAGACCGAGATCGAAAGAAGTTTCGCCGCCGCCCAAAAGTGCGCCATCGGCTACACAACCACAAAAGCTTCGTGATTGCTCGACCTTGGGTCGATAGTTGAAGAGGGTTTGGCACAGAGGATTATGAGATGCGGATCGTGGAACGTTGAGTTCTGTCAAGATAACATCAAACGGCACACGCGAGTGGGAAAACGCACCCTGTGTGATGTTCCTGACCTCTTTGAGAGATTCTCCGAAAGATTGGCCTGGCTGTTGAGAGAACCTCACAGGAAGGAGGTTCAAGAAAAGTCCCACGCTCCGTAGTATGTCGGCATCCGTACGGTTTCCATCTCCGAGGCCGATGCAAACTTCCTTCACATCAAAAAACCGTAGAAGAAGGGTCTTCCAGACTGCCAAATGGAAGTGGAAGGGTGTTGATTTGAACATCCGGCAACACCGGTCAATTGAATCCGATAAACTGACATCGAGACGAATATGTGCAGTATGGGAACGAAATTGAGCAACCTTAGGGCGCATGGGTTGTAGAGCAAATGGAAGAAGGGGAATTGTGGGTGGAATCTCTGTATACTGGGCTCGCCAGTAAGCGATATCTCCAGCCCAGGTGCCCTCTTCGTATTCACGAAGCTGCCGCATAGTAAAGTCTGGATATTGAAGTCCATCTTCAGAAAGGGGTTGGCCTTGATATGCCTTTTCCACATCTGACCAAAATACTTCGAAGCTAATACCATCCATGTTGATGTGATGAAAGCCGAAGATTATCCAGTGCTTTTCTAGGTCAAGCGAAAGCAGCTGAACACGCATGACCTCGCCATCAGAGAGGTTGAACACGTGCGCCTTCATCTGTTTCTCGGCCTCTTCAACTTCTGCCTTGTCGGAGATTGCAACATGCTCCAACTGTAACGAAGATTTCGTCCAAACGCCTTGGATATGGTTCCGTTCATTGTCAGTGAAAAAAAATGTACGCAGGGCTTCGTGGTGTTGTCCTGTGGCTTTTACGGCATTTGCAAATTCTTGAATTCTCAGGCGACCAGACAACTCAAATGTCGGTGTAATATTAAATGCAGTTTTGTCCTCAACAAGATGCTCTAGGAACCAGAAACGCGACTGACCATAGGACATCGGCAGAGTCCTTTGGATTTCACGTTTTGGGGGTCCCACTTTGCTGCTGTCAGTAAAAACGGATGATGAAGTGTCATCATTGTCTTCGGAATTCGAGTCTCCGGTAAATAACGACGTCGCCGAGCTGCCACTGTACGCATTCGTTGCATCAGGAAGTGCAAAATTTGACTCCATAGACCTTGCTCTGGTATCTGGAACTATTTTATCCACGGGCAAAGTGGGGGAAGGTGTTGAAGGGTTAGGCTGGTGCGCCTGTGACTTTACAGCCTGTTCTGCCATCACATTGGGGATCAAAGATTCTGGCAGAACTTCTGCAGCAGTGGCCAAAAGCTCACGAATTGACGCCGCGTTAAAGATTTTCAGCACCGGCATATCCACCCCCAGCTCCTTGAGGAACCACGATCGAAGGTCAACAGCGACCAATGAATCGACACCAAGCTCATCCGGACTCATGTCCAACATAGGCTTGTTGGGATCAGCCTGAAGGGCGGACTGGAGCTTCAAAACAAAGCTATCTAAAGACAGCTGTTAGTTTCAGCTGGGTATCTAACTTGGGATGCCTGTACCTTGCAAGATCTCGATGACTTCCTGGTTTGAAGTTGCCTCGAATAAGCGTGTTTTTATCAACACGCCAGATTTCCCTTTCTTGTCTGTCACCACAAGTTTGCTAGACTTGTAGACCAGATGTTGAAAAATTGGGTTAGAAACCCAACTCTTCGACTCATCATCGTCAATTCTGAGTCCACAGCATAACTCAGCGCTCCCGACACGCTCCCTACAAGAAAGTACACCTTCGGCAAACACCTCATGGAAGTCTTGTTCAGACATCCATGAATGCCCGACTCGGTAAAGGTATGATTGCTGGCCCATGTTCAGCTCTCGTGTAACGTAGCCGTTACCGACAATCGCGCCGATGTTGATCGCATGTGCTGCCAATCCACGGTTTCGGCGTTGGGCTGCCAGACTCGCCATAAACATATTCGCGGCATTATAGGCAACCTGGCCAGGGTTTCCCGTCATCGCAGCCATCGACGAGAAGAAAACCATAAATTCCAACGTGTCCTCTGGGAACAATTCGTCCAGTAATATACTACCTTCAACTTTAGGACGGAGAACCTTCTCAAGGCGAGGGAGATCTAAATCAATGAACATTGTGTCCTGGAGCACCATCGCACCTTGTGCAACACCCGCGATAGGAGGCATGGTTTCGCTGATGTTACGATGGGTTGCTTGAACAGATTCCCGATTCGTTATGTCACTGCATGTGTTAGCCAGGCGTGAGTGATTGGAACCAAACAAGAGCTTACTTGGAGAATACTCGGACAGTGCATCCATTCGCAGCCATTCTCTGCAGCCATTGGTCATCGATCTTTGGGTTTCGACTTGATAGCGCGATGTATCGTGCCCCCTGTCCGATCATCCACTGGCAAAGCGACAAACCGAGCCCGCCTGTTAGTCCAACTAGCCAGTAAGTTTTGTCCTTTGAGAATTTGACAGCTTTGGTAGCAGGGCGAACTTGGACAGCAAGCTGCGATTGACCCCATGCAATTAAAGACTGGCCCGCAAGCGGAGATTGTGCGCGAATCAGGTCCTCAAGTCCTAGAGGAACAAACTTGTGCATATTAACTGGCATCAGGTCGTATTGTGCTCTCGCCCAGGTATTCTGCAGCTGCATAGCCAATTGGCCTGTATCTGAGGTGTACTGAGATTGAGAGATGTTTGCAGTCAAAGTGCTCTCGCTCTCAAAATGACAGTCTGTCCGCAAGCATGTCCTCAGGAGAGTAGTCACATCAGAGCTGCCACTCATATTGACAAGGCGTGAAATATTGCCAGGTAGCTTACTTAATACTTCACGCCGGGTGGAGTTTGGGTGGATTCGGATCCATGGCCATGAGCAATGTCCTTCCTTTGTTGTCAAAAGGACAAGTTGCACACCCTTTTCTGCTGCGTATTTCGTAAGGACTGGTGCTAGCGAGAAGCCAGGGTCTAACACGGCCAATATTGTTCCTGGTTGAAGCTGTTGGAGCATAGAGAGAGCAAGGAAATGGGAATAGAGGGTGAGTATCGATCGAATTCCTAGCTCTTCGGAATCTCCACATCGCACCGTCAGGCCATGTGGCACACGAACTTGAGAGTCCAGAGTATGCGACAGAGCGACCACACGCTCACCATTCCACTTATTCTTCCCAACCAGCAAGAAATAATTGTCCGTTGGAGTGATGCGGACGGCACGGAGGAAAGAGTGAGCCACATCAATATGCACATCATCCGGGAAAGAGGGCGAGTCTTGAGGGTCCTTTTCTTCAATTTGATATCCAATTTCAGTTGGTCGGATGGTCACCACGGATTTTTTACGTTCAACCTCTTTAATAATAAGACGCCTTGAGGAATTGTATCGATCGTTCCGACCAGAGTTCAGGCGGAATCGAGGAACTTTGAAATTCCCATTCTCTAGCAGCAGCTCCCTCTCGTTGGACCACAACATCCCATCGAGCTGGCCACTCTGATCCCAAATTTCGGCGGCTTCCAAATGGAGCAGCTTTGTAGCGATAATATTGGAATCAGCGTCATAAAGCGAACGGAGGTTCAGGAAATGGATATGGAGGTGAGTCATCTCCATGGCCAATGTGCGTTGAACTCCTGTGAACATGTTGCCATAGGGATTCTCTCCCTGGGCACCGTGTCCCACCCACAGAACATTCTTGCTTTGTTTGAAGAGCTCTTGGAATGACCTCAGATTATTAGGAGACATGTGCCTGAGAACAGGCCCATCCAATTCAATCAGACTAATCACTGACCCCATTACGGGAAGATTTGCCGAGACGAGGTCATCTAAAGAGCCAGCTGTGTAGATATTGCTGTAGTGGGGACGGACCGCAGTCTTCATATCGGCTACGATATCAGCAGTCAAGGATGTTTTCCCTCCGATGATTGTCAACGAGTTCACACCTAGTGGTGTATGATTCGCTGCTAGGGGATCACGAAGAAAATTGACGCGGTGATCGACAGCTTGGGTAATCATGACGGAGAATGGCAGAGGCGAGGTTCTGGAAGATGACAACAAGGCTTCGAAACCAGAAAATCCTGTTTTTTGCATCAATCCTTCCCATTTCTCCTCCGATATACAAGGGGATAAGGTTCGTCCCTCCTTGTAGCCTAACCACCAGCCTGGTAGGCCACCAAAAATCAACCCGAAGCGCATGACATCCGAGTCGGTGAGTTCGAGCATAACCAGGTACCCACCAGGCTTTAGTAGCCGTCGAACATTTGTGAGGGTTGACTCAAGATTTCTGGTGGCATACAGGGCTAGAGGAGCAATGACAAGGTCAAAACAACCCTCTTCATAGTCTTGTTCCCCGATGTCTTTCTCGATGTCCAACAACTTGAATGCCATTCTAGATTGGTAATCCGAGAATCTTTCACGCGCGTTATCGAACTGTGAGTCCAAAATATCGGTATATGTGTATGATGTAAATGAGGAGCCCATTGCACGAAGGACTCGTTCCGAAGTAGCGCCGGCGCCAGCTCCTGTAATAAATTAGTATTGCACACAATTTCAAATGTGTGTGGACTAACCAATCTCCAAAACATTGACATGGGGGTATCTATGGCCGATCTGACGAGCCGTCTGTGCGATGGTTTCCAAGTATGCGTCTATTCCAAGTGTTTTGGCGTAAAATTCCGCTAGCATATTGTCGCGCATCAGGATTTCAAGTAAATTCTGATCTCCGCGAATGACAGCAGGAAGGTTCTCCCCAACGGAACACAGTGCTTTGATGTCGATGCAGTCGGAATGACTATGTAGATCAGTCAGTGTGATTCAATTTCAGTTTGTTAGGTAAACAAGAGTTCAAGTTCTCACCGATTCAGAATTGGAGCAACATCGTCCATGGTGTCATTGGCCCATTCCGCCTTTGCGAATTTATGTTTTCCATTAGCAACAGAGGTTGTACAATGCTCCACATATGAGAGAAAACGTGTATGGTCCCAAGTTGCATTTGCATGATCGAAGTCCTGGAGCGAATTTTCAAGTTTTTTCAAGTAGAAATGTGCCACGCGCTCGAGATCCACGCCTAGGGAACCCTCTTGGGGAAGCATGCCTTCAGCTTTCTTAAGTTGTCGCAAGGTGGGTCTATCAACATCCCATACCACTTCCGTGAAAAAGGGAACATCATTTGATGATGTCAATGGACTCAAGGGTGTGGTATGAAGCCCTTCCAGTTGAACCAAAGTATGTCTCCCGTCTGCTGAAAATATATCAACATCGCCAGAGAGTTCAGCAAAGCGGGCATCCGTGACCGCAGAATAAAAGGGCAAATCTGTACCACAAGCACCAAGAGCGACACAGGCGGTTGGATTGAGGCGAAGCCTGTCAATTCGAGTGGGAAGGTAAAGGGTGCGCAAGCGTCCATCACCTGGAAAGGAATAAGCAAGCATGATGGACTGAATAGCTCCGTCAAGAGAGGCTGGGTGAATGATCAACGGTCTTTCAGTTTTGGAATCCACCGGGACAGCAATCAAACCCGATGCCTCGTCCATTTTTCTGCGCAAGTTGAAAAGGGCCTGGAAGGGGCCGGTATAGCCAAACCCAAGCTCTGAAACTGAATTGTAGAATCGGTCTGCTTCCAGATCCAGGAATGAGCCTTGCGGGTGGGCGTGTGGTGGGAGGATATCGTGCTTGGGGTCACCCAAAATAATTTGTATGGCGGCAGATGCGTGAAGAGACATGTTGGATGACCCCTTATTAGCGTCAGAATGACAGGCAAAGGACGCAGACACGCAATCGGCCTGGACTTGGTCGATGGAAAGTCTGAAAATCGTTTCCACTCCCCCGTTCTCTTCCAATACCAATGCCTGTCCGATGACCACATCATGGAAGTCGATCAGTTGCACAGAACCCAGGCCATACTTTTGAATGATACACTCAACCGCCGCCGATATATAACCAGCTGCAGGGAATACCATTTGGCCTTGGACCTGGTGATGTGCCAGCCATGGAACCTCCCTAGGGTGAAGATAGTTGCGCCAGCGTAACTCATTGTCTGTCCCATCGGGGCATTTGACACCCAATAGGGGGTGGAATGGTTCCTTTTCAGTGCGTATTGCGGTAGATGATCGAGATTCGTGCCAATAAACCCGATCATGGTCCCACGAATACGATGGAAGGCCTTTTATGAGCTCTGGAGATCGAGTGTTTTGATTTTGCATTGCTTTCATCTCAAACCCTGCGAAGTCCACGACACCCTCACCCAAGGCAATCCATAGGGCGCCTAGGGCGGATGAGAAAGCCTCGCTGTCCTTTTTTCCACGATTTAGGGTCCCGGTGTAAGGCAATGTCTGGCCAGACACTTCTTGGATCGTCTGCATTGAAGGTCCTTTCAGTGCTGGGTGAGGACCAATCTCCAAAGCCATGTCGAATGGCCCAGCTGCACCAACGGCATAAGTGACAGCCTGGGAGAATAGTACGGGCTTGACCATGTTATTGCTCCAGTACGTGTCGGCAAGATTCTCATCCACGCTGTCAATGTTTTCCCCATACACACTAGAAATCCAGGTAGCACTGCCACTCGGTGGACGCTGAACTGTTATGCCGCACGTGCGGATCGCTGCGATATAAGGAGCTGCGCAGGAAAGCATGTGATGTGAGTGATAAGCTTTGTCCACTTTCAACAAGCGAGCAAATTTTTTCTCATCTTCAAGAATTTCTCTAGCCTCATCGATCGCATCGGCGTCCCCGGAAAGTGTGACGCTGGCGGAGGAGTTGCTAGCTGCCACGCAAATTCTGTTCTCGAGGGACGGCATCTCGCAAAGCTCCTTTGCATCCTCAAATGATGTTCCCGCGGCCATCATTGCCCCTATCTGTCCTCCCTGGGAAGTTGTATACTGAAGAGACCATCCGCGGTAATAGGCAATGCGGATAGCATCCTCTTCGTTGAGATACCCCGCGGCATACGCTGCGGCAATCTCCCCAGACGAATGGCCAACGACAGCAGTGGGTTTCACATTGGCTGCTCGGAGAAGCTGAACCAACGCAATTTGAATCGCGGTACAGAGAGGTTGCGAAAACGCCGCCTCCCCAATACGGGATGAAAACTTATCTTTCACAAGCTCCCCCCTCAGCGACCAAACAGGGCGATGCTCAGTGGGTAAATCCCGCAAAGACCGATCGAGTCGGGCGATACAATCACTGACCATTGGCGAGCTTTCGAGCAGTTCAGCACCCATCCTTGCCCACTGTGCTCCTTGGCCCGTAAACACCCAAAGGAGTTTCGGTTCGAGGATACTTCCTGTTTGCGTGCTTGGTGTTATTGCCAAGGACAGTACTGCTTCATCCAGCCCTGCAGCAAGCTCTCCTAGGCTTGATGCAGACACCGACAAACGTACTGGCAGAGTGGAACGTCGGCAGTTCAATGTCCATGACAAATCACGGATATTGACATCCGAATTATTTCGCAAATACGCCGAGTATGCTGCAATGTTGGTGAGAAGCGACTTTTCGGAGGAGGCAGAGAAATTGAATGGTAACACTGCTCCGGAGCTGTCATCTGCAGCGTTCTGACCACAGGCAAGCGGGCGCGTATCGAATTCTTCCAAAATTGCATGCGCATTTGCGCCGCCAAAGCCAAAGCTGTTGACACTAGCACGACGAGGGGTGTTCTCTGAAAGCTGCGGCCATTCTTTCGCAACTTGAAGGATTTCAAGGTCGTTGTAGAAGGGAAGTACCGTGGAACTCAACTCATTGAGCAATAGGTTTGGTGGGATGACAGCATGTTGTAAAGCAAGTGATGCCTTGAGGACCGCTGCTAATCCAGCCGTGCCCTCAGTGTGCCCGATCACTGTTTTAATTGACCCAACATACAAGGGGTGCTCTCGGTTACTATCGCGCTGATACTTGGCTGCTTGTCCAAAGAATGCAGTACTGATGGCCTCCGCCTCGACTGGGTCACCTGCAGGAGTTCCTGGTTCGGTCAGCAAAGCCCTACAACACTCGGTTTCACCTTCATTTCAGTTATAACTTACCGGTACCGTGAGCTTCGAAATATTGTGGCCGGTCGGTGGGGTTGGAAAGATCTAGTCCAGCTCGGGCATACGTAGTCCGAATAAGGTCTGCTTGAGCCATAGGGTTGGGCATCGTGATTCCTTTGGTACGACCGTCTTGATTGGCACCTGTCTCTCGAACGATGCATTCGATGTGATCTCCATTCGCCAATGCTGCACTTAATGGTTTGAGTATTATGGCAGCAATTCCGTCACCGCGTGCATATCCATCTGCATCTTTATCCCACATGCGCGAGCGGCCCGTCGGGGAGAGCATCTTCAGCTTGCTCTCTGCGATATATTGCTCCGGTCCAAGCAGAAGGTTGGTTCCTGCTGCTACCGCAACATCAGTCTCGCCACTTCGCAGGCTCTGTACGGCCTGGTGAAGGGCAATCAGACTAGAAGAACATGCCGTGTCGATGGTCATGGAAGGTCCCCGCCAGTCGAAAAAGTAGGACACTCGATTGGATAGAATGCTTCGAGCAGTTCCCGACGCAAAATAAGTTGGGAAGTTCTGCACATCCCGACCCAACATATCCGCATAGTCATTGGTCATCAAACCAACATATACGCCGGTGTTGGACCCTTGTAGCTTTTCCATGGGAATGCCAGATGTTTCGAGTCCCTCGTAAACAGTCTCAAGCAAGAGCCTTTGTTGCGGATCAATCGAGTTTGCTTCCACTGGCTTGGTTCCAAAAAATTGGGCGTCAAACAGTCGATGATCGTCGGACAACAAATAGGAATGTCGAACATTCGTTGTGCCATGGTGAAGGCCATCGGGGTGGTAAAATGCTTTGGTGCTAAAACGGCTTTCTGGAATCTCGCTAAGGACATCTCGTGGTGATCTGAGCAAGTCCCAAAGTTTCGAGGGTGTTGTTGCATCACCAGGAAAGCGGCAGGCACTTCCCACGATGGCAATCGGTTCTCCGGTGTGCTGAAGACCACCTGTCATTGTGTAGCTCGGGTTTCACTGACTCTGCACAGGCTGGTACGATCAATGTGTCACTCCGCGTATTTCTATGAAGGGTCTATAGGATATCAATCATGGACAATCGGGACAAGATTTTCTTTGCAACATTCACACTCTAGTTAGCAGCGATGGGGAGCGGTACATATCATTGTGCCGATGCTCGCCTTGGTTGTCAGATTAGGATAGTTCGGACATCCAATCTCGCATCAGCTTGTCATTGTTTTCAGCTGGTTCCGACTCCGAGGCCTGTCTCCGGGGTTGTGATGTGAAACGAGACAAATCATGATGTAGGTATGGGATCCACCGGGTTTTTGCCATGTGTGCAGATAAACTTCCTGTGTTTTCTCACTTCATGTTATTCTAGAAATCTAGAAATACCAGGCTTCCAGGGGTTTGAAGTCCGGCTAGTTTGAAATCTCAAGACCGAGTCCGAGTCCGAGGGTCATTGCCCTGTTGCATTTGCATGTTCGAGATCTCAGCAAGACCATCAAACCATCGATGAGTCGCCAGCATGGCGTGCAGGGATCGTAAATATTTGTCTCATGGCCAATGGAGTCTACTATATTGCGATATTGCACAACAAGGATCCAAGGAGAATATGCGCCCGACTACTCTTTTTCCTAAGTAATTAGCAATCGGTAGGTTCAGCATCATGCTTCGACTCCGAGATCAATAACATACCTAGTCCATGTTCTAATACTAGAACCCCTTTTTCCCAGATCACCACTCTTAGGTTCGCAACCACATTTCCATGTGCCATGGATCTTGGTCGGTTTGAGTCTTGACCTCAGCATATTCGAGTTTCAACTCCTAATATCCGATGATGGCTGCATATTGTAATCTGAGCGGTCAGCACGTGGAAAATGGACGTGCTCTAGACAGTTTGTGTTGTCTGCTTCCCTATCCCTCTCTAGGCAGGAGGTAAAAATATTCCCCACCCCGCCCTGTCTTGGTAATGCTGCATGCAGCAGCTAGGATCAGGATAGGCAGGAGGTGAAATAAAGGCTCGCTGGGGACAAAGCGCACGGAAGAGGTGGGGAAATAGAAGGACCCTTGGAAGGTAGTTACCTAAGAGAAGGCTGCTGACTCAGGTATCAACTGTGGCCTGAGGCCTCTATTTCTTTCACTTATCGGAATGAACTGCCCAGATGGGAATAAGACACTCTAATCACTTGCCAATAGTATCTTTCCATTGCATACATTGGACTGCAGATAGCGACTGTACTCAATAAATATAAACAAATTCATCATTCTCCCGGTCTGTCAGATCCTGAAACGCATTGTCCCCAACTTGCACAGTCTCAAGTCCAGCTTCCTCGATGTTATCCTGCATTTCGTGATAGTCATTCTGCATCGAAACATCAACTATTTCTGCTCTTTTGCCATTTTGTACACGTCGACGGGCTTGTTGTTTGTTGAGGAACCATAGATTAGCCCACTGGATAAGAACAACAGCGGCCAAGGTGCTGAAGATTCCGAGACATGCGCGCAGGCCTGGGTGATAGGCTGGCTTATCTTTCTCGTTGAATAGCAACGGGCCAATGATATTTCCTGCCGAGCTTGCTGCATTGTACAAACTCATGATAACGGACTTCTTGGTGGTGCCTGCCGTGTTGCCGATGATCCATGTCACAATCAATGGATTGCCGCCAAATAAGAATGCGAGTAGATAGTAGCCAGCAAGTAACTGGCCCTGTACAGAGTTGGTCCGAGCCACCGCATACAAAATTGCTAGCCCGGCTATCACGGGCAGCATGAAAGCTGCGATGATAGCGCTCTTCAAACGAGCGGTTTGGGCAAGATAACTTGCTAGCAGAATGATGAGGAATTGCAGCGCGCCAAATGGCATGGTCAACAGAGTGGTCCTGTACTTATCGTAGCCAAGGCCGCTCAAAATCAGTGGACCGAAGACGTTGTTCACGCTAGCGCCAATGTTGAGGAGCATTGCCATTCCAATCCACAGATATGTTTTGGGCTCTAAGCACGCCTCGAGGACGTGATTAAATTTAAACTCGGTGTTTCCTGTTCCAGTCTGGTTGGCTCGAAGTCGCTCCATTCCTTGGGCTTTCTCCTCCTCGGTGAGGAACCGAGCGGTCGAGATATCGTTGTCCAAGCGCCAGTAGACGATTGGGGCAGATGCGACAGTTATCAGGCCAACAACAAGAAATATGCTAAAATCAAGTCAGAATATACCACTCTCGGGGGTTTAACGGATTGATTTCCTACATCTGCCATGATTTCAGCACGTCTGACTCTATTTGTGCCAGCCCGTACGATAGAGCAGCTGCAACGACGGTTGCTAGGCCATTTGTGCTATACCATGCAGCGATCCGTATCGGTTGCTCTGCACGACGGTACCATTGGCTCGTGATAACACCAAAGAGAGGGAGACACCCGGCCTCAAATAGGCCGAGAAAAAACCGAGCGGCCATCAAGGAGCCGAAGTTGTGGCATGCAGCCATGCATGTCTGCGCAATTCCCCACCCGAGGCATAGCACTGGCATAAGAATTTTGTGAGGAACCTTGACAATCAGGTATGAAGAAAAGGGCTGCCAGGCAAGTTGTGCAATGGGTCCGATGGAGCCGACAAGCGAATATTCGTTGCCGACAAGGCCTGTGTCTTTCTGTAAACCGAACGTTGCACCGTATCCCAAAACTGTCTTATCGAGGATCTGCAAGAAGTAGACCCAGGCAAGCACAACAAGAATAGTCCGATCGGTCTTGCGACAGATGCGCTTGCTGTCCTCTTCGGTCAAGGAGACACGTACAATACCACTGTTATCGATGAGTTTGTCCCCCTTCTGCTGCTCTGCGGCTTCATTGTGAACAACATCTGGTTTGGACATGGTGGGTTCTTCCATCGTAGGAGAATATCTATACCATGATCGTCCCTATCAAGGCATATATATACATATGTACGGAGTAGGGTCAGTTGCCGCGCCTCACGTCATTCGGTGAATTCTAGGTGTTTCCCCATGTTTCCCCCCACGTCTCCGCATGCCCCCACGAAAGTCTAACGCGCGCAGTCCACATTCGCCAAGATATTTAGCGAACCAACGTTGCCGGAGATTGATTAGAGTTTCCTGTGTCTTCCAATCGATTAGAATGTCCTTGCCACTTTCCATGGACAACGCATTGTCAAGCTTCGGGGTGGAGATCCCTATTCGGACATCCCGTGATTACCGAGCCTAACCGAAACTCGGGGGGTGGGGGTGAGCCCTTGCCGAGGGGGACAGGAATGCAGGAATGAGGCCATAAATTACCTCTGCACTTTCTTATTTGACAGTCGGCTAATGGGAGAATTGTCGGTGACTGCGCTCTATTGCCGTTGTATATTGTTGCAACGGGTAAAGAGGTAAGATGCCGAAGACTGACTGAAATATGTATCTGAGAAATAATTGGCGCCTGATGAGTTATTTTTCCCTCTCGCCGGCAGACAATATCTCAAGATATTGAACAAATATGCTTTGGATTATTGCTCCCAGAAAGGGAAAATCAAACGCCGATTACTATCTCCACGCCTAGTTTAGAGCCCTGGAAAGAGTGAATTCAAGAAAAAGACTTCCCCAAATGGACGACGCCTGTCGGCATATCTACAAAGCCCGAAATTCATACATTTGGCGCAAATTATGCAACATACCGCGAAGCATAGCCACCTCACCTCCCATTTAACGTCGAAAAAATGTCGATCACGTTGATACATGCCGGATTGCGAGAGTATCGCGCCCTAATCTTTGAGTGAATCATGACCCCAATTCTTGAGCGATCGGTAACTCTTGCTATTCGTGTCGTACTTGACTCGCTCCTCTTGCGCTAAATGACGCTTGCAGTAGGATACCACGCGACGCATGTGGTCAATGTCTTGATCGCTGTAGTCGGACGGGTTCTCGTTGGGATTGTGCTCGAGGATCCGCACAATCCTTCGGCCACTATCACCATGATTAACGCTCGTTTCTTTTTTCCAACCACTGGAACTCTGCAATCGAGGGCGACCAAAGTAAGAATTACTGACCTTTCGTGGCCAATTGTTTCCCCGGAACTGCCCGCCCAACCCGATGTTTGTGATTGCTCTTGCTCAAGCCAACCACGAAGCTCGATTGGGGTCATGTTCACGAGATCGTTGAATTCACTGCTCAGTTTGTCAAAAAAAAAATTTGTTTATCAAAGCTGGCAATGGAAAGATACCCAATCACGGTGTCTCTGTCCTTCATTGTTTCCACTGATGAATTTTGGAATTTTGGTTAGATACTACGAGTGATGGTAATCACTATTGGCACAGTGGTGAGTGATTTTGCTAATTTGAAGTTCAGTTTGACGTCATAGCGGCGGAAGCATGTTGCTATGTCACGATGACAAGGCTGGTTGTAGATACGGTGGACATCTGGAATCATGAAGCAGAATTGCTAAATTCTTAGACAAATCGGACCTGCTTTCTAAATTGAACGAAGGAGATTTTCTCGCGAGGGCAAGTAAAGACAATGCCATTACCACGGCCAGAACAATCGACCATGCAGATGTGCGCAATTAAATAACAAAACATTGCTCCTTTGGTTGGAATTCTGATCGCTGGCCATCTCATATCGACTTAGATGTGTCCAAGTCCATTAAGAATGGTTGGTCTCCATCGCTTTCCTTGTCTTTTCTTTTTCCTAAATCTGACGATTAAATTTAACCAACTATGCAGTCAGCGTCAATCATTTGAATAAAAGATATTCTGAATTAACCCACCGACCAAGCCTGGGACCATTGCTCCACTGGGCTTTGATGGTTCTCATCCTTTTGAATTGGGCGAATTTGTTGTTTTATCTTGTAATCAATTATCGGGTAAGATTTATGGTAGATTTCAGCGGTACGGGGCCCAAGTCACATTATGTTGAGGGCCTACTGTGTGGCACAAGCGAGAAGAGGGAGAGAGTTAAGATTCATACGTAGGGCTGTATCTACTACGAGGTGAGGCTTCTTGAAAAGACACTCGGAAGTATCAGGAACTAAATTGTAAAGCTGCCTAGTCTCCCCATTCATGTGATATAATACAACGCACATTGTGTGCATAGAAATGCGTAAGCGATATCAAATTACATTAGCAGCGCTCATCATGCATCCGTAGGCTGTTGCTATTCTTGGCTAGCGTTGAATAACCCTAGCTATAATGTTAATTACTTACTAGGATTCTCAACAAATAGTAAGCCCTACATTCTGGGGTCCCTATGGTCCAGTTACTTTTTCAAGGCATATACAGAAAGGCAGGGATTGCAACTTTGACCATAACCGCCGATTTTAAACTTATCATTGCATGCCTAGAAAAGGCACCGTTTCCGATAATCTTTTTTTTTCAAGACTTTATTGTGAATATTATTCCGTTTATCTGTGTCATACGATATAAGGCATTGGATTTTATATAAACCAGTCTGCCAAATCCACGGTTAAAACTCTCCCAGCTTACAATCACAAAATGGCATCCCAGGATGGATTACCCTCGAACCAGGCCGGCATCATACAACATGAAGGTGGTGTTCTTCGAATCACTCATGGTCTGCCTATCCCAGAACTTGGCCCCCACCAAATGCTGGTGAAGACTGCTGCCGTGGCCCTCAACCCCTGTGATTTTAAAATGCCACTGAGGTTCCCGACCCCAGGTCTCTGGGATGGGTGTGACTTTTCAGGCACCGTGGTCGCACTAGGAAGCGAGGTTGCTGCACAGGGACGATTCCGTCTTGGAGACCAAGCTTTTGGTGCTGTTCAAGGCTCCAATATGTCAGATCCCATGTCTGGAGCCTATTGCGAATACATTAGAACCGAGCCGGATCTGACTTTCCATGTTCCCAAAGGAATGGACCTTGTCAACGCAACCTCTCTCTCGGGGACTGGAATTGCAACTCTTGGGGTTGCTCTTTTCTGGTCACTTCAGTTGCCTGGAACATTGACTACACCAGCATCCAAACCCGAGGATGTTCTGGTATACGGCGGGAGTAGCACTATAGGACTACTTGCAATCCAGATGGTGAAGCTGTAAGTATCCCCTTCCTTCCCATAGCTTTCTGTATATTTGGATAACTGATTCATCTTGCTTAGCTGTGGCCACCGGGTAATTACCACATGTTCCCCTCATAACCGCGACTTGGTGACATCATACGGGGCAGATCTTGTCTTTGATTACAACTCTCCAACGTGTGCCGAAGACATTCGAGCGGCTACAAAGAACACCTTGCGCTATGTTCTTGATCCCTTTGCGGAAGCAAAGACTCTGCGGATGTGCCATGCATCCATTGGTCGTACCGGAGGAAGGTACTGTGCACTTGAGCAATACCAAGAAGGCCTTTGTTTGCGAAAGACAATCAAGCACGAGCTAGTCATGGGAGGTGCCATCTCCGGACGAGGTGTCGAGCTACCAGACCCATATGGCATTCCACCACGACCTGAGATTGGAGTCTGGGCTCGGTCATGGTACCTAGAGCTCCAAAAATTGATAGACGGTGGGAAGCTTAGGCCCTGTCCAACTCAAATCATTGCAGGCGAATTTGAAGGGATCTTGAAGGGCTTGGACATACTGCGAAATGGAAGGGTCTCGGGGAAGAAGCTCGTCGTCCCTATGATCACCAAATAAAACGTTGTATTGATGTGGAGGAAGGAAGTCAGAATAGCGCGATCGCGAATTATTTGAGAAAATATACATTTTGATGTACGGTTGGAATCCCATGCCAGCTTGTACACACGAGACTGCTCATCTCTAGATTATCGTCATAGTCTAGCTTTGAACTGATTTACACATCAGATATTGATCTCCTTGGTTTTCCTTTGAGTTAAATCTCCTGACTGGTGTGATGGGCTTTGGACGTACGGAGTAGAGAGCTCGATATTATCGGCTACTCGAGTAGAAAAAGTGTCATCCTATGAGAGTCGAAAAGATCGCTTAACCAAGTAACTCTAGAAGGAAGTTAAATTAAGGATATGAGGTACATTCATTCGATATGCGTTGGAAATACGGAATTATCGACGTAGGTGGTAGGTTAGGGGTCTAATTTGGACCATCGTAAACCATCTTAGCAATGACTTTCTTTTCCTCCTTGGTCGTGCTAATGTTTCGTGTCAAATGTCTCCTTCCGTCCAGCTCTTCAAATCCCCAAATCACTTCTGCTTCCCATCCCTTTGACGTATTCCGGGCCAATTCTTGAATGACCTTGTCAGTCAAGCTGGCCGTCTCCAGAATTTGACGGATGGAGTCATCCAGTATGCCAGATTTGTCGATAAATTTGAGCTGCATCTGAATATCTCCAAAGATGGGCAGTGAAATGTCTTGCTTGCTTCCATCAACCGAATAACTCCCTTCGCTGTCAAAGCCGCCTGGGTTGACAGTTTGTGTCATACGAAGAGTCGTGAATGGTTTCAAATTGCCGGACAAATCAGAACTTCCATTAGAGTTTCCTCCCGTGTGTGTGCTTTGTTTGGCGGATAGGGGAGTGGTCTGGTGGATTTGCAGCGAAAGCCGGGCGTATTTCAACACCTTTCGGACAGCCCAAGGTACGCCTTGCTATTCTTTCTTAGTATAGCGAACCAACATCTCAGTTCAGTATTACTCTTACCAAGATAAAGACGTCATCTGGATCGGTTGACAGCTTTCGGTTCTAATCATCATATTAGCCCATCCGTTAGGCAAATATCAAATGGAGAAAACGTACCAATAACCAGGTTCCAGTAAGATCAGGAACATCTTTGGAATCAGGTATAGCCATCCTCAGGGTTTCAGATTTAGCAAGTAAGTTGGGAATAGTTCTTTCCTTATTTTATTTTCGAAATGTATCACTCTGGTAATGAGGCGAGTCGTTCCTTTTAATAGTGAAGTTGAATATTCTCTACTCCATCCCAGGGATTGCTACATGGATGATTCTAAAACAACATCGGACTCGGACTCGGTGTCCGAACAGGGAATATCGAGTGCAAATATCCATTCATGCACAGACTGCGGTCGCCCATCAATAAAATTCTTATGGGTTGAAGAGATCGAACGCAGCGTGGCTTCTGTACCTGGTTGCTTACTCAGGGGTAACCCTACAACACCCTTTATTCACCGAGTTTGTGATAACCATGAGCGTGAGGACACACTCTCCAACTCTATCTGAGAGTTCCTTCATCTCATCTCTAGATGTGTTTTCAATTTTCTCTTTGATTACCCTACATAAACTGCCAGGTCCTAAAAGTCAACACAATCAAGGAGTAAGTAGATATTTTAGAATACCGACCAGGATCATAAACGATAATATTAAATAATCACTGGTTCTTTAACAAGCTGCCGCAAGCACTCCATTATTTCCATTAAAGACATTTCACAAGGATCTTGTTCTTGTGCTATGACAATGTCGCGGATTGAATTTGACCAATCTTTCTGACGGATTGTCTCAGATCGATCGAACTCTCGATCTTCTTGGGATTGGCTTGGGCCTGACCGAAATTTAAGGGCTCGGTCAAGTTTACCCAGCATTGTAGAGCTGAATTCAACCAGTACTTGAACTTGGGCAATGAGATTCCCATCCAAATGAAACTGCCCAAAGTGTACCTTCGGTAACAACAGAATCGTGGCTGCATCAGTTGGAGGAATGATGAGAAATAGCTGGTACAACCTCATGAACACAGCACGGTATATGTGAACAAGTGAGCAATGTGCCTCCAATATTCCAAGCCACAGTGCTATATCGAATTTCGGGATTGCACGAGTTGTCGCTTGATCCGGAGATGTCGTTGTGGTATGATACCCAGAATCATGTGGAGATACTGTGGTGACATCTTCATCCAAGCCATTTCCGCCATTTTCCGAGAAGATAAACAAAGAGTCTTCATATCCGCTGCTCTCTGTTTCAAATCGCTGTGTAGCAAACGCAACATCCAAAGTCTCCTCTGTCATACCACACGAAGATCGAACAATTGCCAAAAGCCAAGAGGAGTGATCAAGCAGACGATATATCGGAAGGTCGAGGGTTTCAATTGGCAAATTAGAATTTTCATAGAAAAGGGATGAAGATTCCAGAAGCATCGACCCAGTCTCAAATATCTCCAAATCCTCAAGAAGTTCCACCTTCAATCTCAACAGACTCTTACGAATGTCTTGTATGGAAAGGAGAGCGCCTTGGCTTGTTGTATTTGCGGGCGGCTTCCTTATAGTTTGGTGATTCACCCATGCAGGATCTGGAAATTCCTTCATTGCAAAGGGCGATTCGTTCTCACCATGGTTGAGAGGTTTGGTTTGGAAGGGCTCGTAAATTGCCATCTCAGTGGCTTGCCTGGCACCTAGTGGAGCATCACTGGTGAAGACTGAGGGAAGCCAAGAATTCCCCTCATAAGCGTACATTTCATCTGATGGGATCCAATCAGAAGACTATAGTAATTAGTAGTCAGTAAATGATTACTGTTGTTTTCCTCGGGCTCCAACTTACTAGGTTATAACCATCGGTCGATGAATTTGAATGGGGATCACCCCAATGCTCAACGGGAGCCATGATGTTTCCAAAGTCTAGGGGCATATTAAACCCAACCTCCACCGAGGGCGAATGGAAGCTGCCTCCAGGAAAGCCTGGCATTGACGCTACTCCTCCCCAGTTCTGGTGCTCTTTCGTGTTGTATCTCCCTGGGATTGGAGAGGGAGAATGCAGTAACTTCTTCACTCTAGGGCCGGATGATTTGTGAAGCACAGACATTGATTGATGCCGTTGGTTGAATCTTTGACTCTCACGGTCCTCTCGCGCAACTATATTATGACCATAGTTTGAGGGTAATATGACCGGCGCAGGCTGGTTCATACTTGTGATACATATTTCTTGGGCTTTAAGACATCGTTCACAAGACATGCCATTCATATGATCGCGCTCGCATCGCAGCTTTTGCCCGCGACAACGATCACAAGCGGACCGTCGAGAGTGCCGATAATTGTGGATTGAATGCATTGTAAAGAAAAAAAGAGAAACGAGAAATAACGTTCCCTATGGTAGCCAACGAGATACCATTCATGGGAAGCTACCAAGCGCAAATATGTACTTCGTTCTTGCCCCACTGAAATTGGATGCAATACAACTGTCAATTGGTTTGAATCATTCTCATCAGCACATGTAGAAAGACTTCAGGCTCAAGGAAAGACAGTTCTATTCGAAATCAGATCCTAGGAAAAAGGCCAGGAGAAAGGCTAGAAAAGCGCGTGGTTTGGTATCACCACGCCTGTACACCTCTCTATTGGAACATGATCCACATCATGCTTGAACATGACCTTATTCATTGAATACTCAATTTTTCCACGCCCAATCCTAAAGTGTGACAAATTCTCAGCTCATAGCAACTTAGCCCTCTCACAACATGTGTATAGACATGCGTACATGCAGACAGAAGTTTAAGGGTATTTTTATCGCATCCATGAACTGAAGGCTGAACTCCAGAGTCCCAGTACGAGGTGCGTCAGGCTTTATGGAAGATGTTACACCATGCTCAAATGAGAACAATGTATGAGAGAGCAGATCTGCTGTGATACAACATGGAGGTGGATAATGTTTCACATAGATACTACCACTCCGTTTTATGGGTTGGAGGCCGGCTTGACGCCATAGAGCCTAATCATTATCAATGAAACATAGACTACCATAAAATAACTAATACCCAATAAAGAGTAGATAAGTTCGATTTGGAAGATCGTAGTTCACGTTGAGCCCAGACCACATCGACATTCGGAGAATTAAGGGCCCAGCTCATAATCTGCTTGACGGTTCTGGGCCCCTGATATTTTCTTTTCCCCCCCTCTGCTAGATTTCATATTCTCCCTCCACATCCTTAAGTCCACCGATTAGTAGTATTCCAGTATCAACTGTCGAGGGGCAAAAAATGCAAAGTAAGGGGTTGAAAGCCTGACTATGCTCCTGGCCAGAGCGCGGCTGGCTTTCAAACACTAGCAATGTCGACGGATTATAGGATACCAAAAGGAATATTAGGTATAATTCGAGGACACACATATCCACTTCCTTTTTTGATTACTGCCGTGTAGAACCCCGTGCGCTTTATCTTTGATGTCAACCCTCTAGGTATTCATTTACATTGAGGCTGCGAGCCGCTTATATCCTGGATTTGCGCCTAATATATCCGCCAGACCAGCCTCAGATGGGAAAGATCCACTATAACAACTTGAAATTTTGTCGTAACTTCTCTAGTTGTAATAAGCCACTTCTTCATGGAACTCGGTTATAATCAGACAAGTATTCATCGATAGAAAAACAAAGTCGAAGAGCCTTCATAGGGAGTTTGCCTTCTGCCCAGTGTGTCCATTCCACTCCTTTATCACAACGCGAACTCCCCGACTTCCTTTTCGCGGGTGACCATTGAACATGTCTCGTACGATTCGAACGTCATCTACTGTAGTCTCGTAGAGCTCCATCTCAAATTCTCGGAAAATGGTGGCGATTGCTAGAAGAATCTCCGCCCGCGCGAGGCTGGTTAACAGATGCTAGTTAGTACACGATTTAAACAGAACAATCAAGGAAAATCCACATACGGAATTCCAATACACTGTCTGGAGCCCTTGCTAAAAGCAACCAGATACTTCTCGAGGCTTTTCCTCTGCTCTGGGTCCATCCATCGCTCTGGGATGAAGCTTTGAGAGTTTGGGAAGATATCTTCATTATGGTGCATAAATATGCTGGTCATCCCCACCGGTGTCTGATGTATATTGTCAAAAAGAGGCCTAGATGACCGCAAAATAGGGGAAGCAGATATCGTACCCCGGGAGGAATGATCCAGTCCTTGTAAGTCATAACTTGATTTGGAGAGCTGCGCTGAAGCCTTGTTGCCACGGCATTGGTGATTCTTCATGGGGGTCAAATAAGATAACGATAAGGATTTGCCAGGGGTGTCAAGAAACAGAAGTCTTCATACCTTAGGCCCTCCAGCATAACAGATGTCTATTATATTATCAGATATTTTGGCATTTCATGAATCGAGTTTGCGAGCAAACAACTTACAAGGTACGGCATTGCCTCGTATTCCACCAAAGTTGCGGTTCCATTGGGGTCGAGTCGGTTGAGCTCGTCCCGTAGCCTTTGTAGCTTGTCTGGGTTGTTAAGTAGATGGAAGGTGAGTGTTGTCAGATTCTTGGCAGTTGTTTCCCCTCCAGCGGAGATGACGGTGAAAACCTCTTGACTCAGGCGGCCAGGCGCCTTCTCCTCTGGGGGAAGCTTGCTGTCTAGCAATGCATGAAACAATGTGCCTTTCGGCACACTAACCTTATCATCTGTCAAGTTTGCACCGGCGGTCTGGCTAGCAATGATCGATTCCGCGAGTCGCAGACTTTCCAGTTTCTGGTCAATTACCGGGCCGATGTGAGGGTTGATACTTACAACTAGCCACCGTGGAAGAAGCTCAAACAAGCCGAATACCCAGCGAAACTGTTTGAATTGAACCCCGACTTCCACAATTGCCTCGATTGTCTTTGACCACTGTGGTGTAAAATCAGGGTCGTCTAAATAATGAAACGATTCACCCATGGAATACTCCACGACCACGTCTGTCGTGTAGGCATTAAATGCATGATAAACATGTAGCGGTGTCTGTCTCTCCTTCCAGTTTCGCATTCCTTTGCGCAGCTTATCTATCATTTTCCGGAGCATGGGCTCCAATTGTCGAATTCGCTGCTGAGAAAAGAATGGGTTCATGGGTTGCCGACGTATCCGATGGTGGCGGTGATCGACTGAGCCGAAAGCTGAGGCCGGTGCCCCAAACATGCCAGTCAAATGTAAGGATTTGTTTCTCGGTTTGTCTCGAGAGTATAAGATTTCATAGTACTCTGGGTCGTCGATATGAAGTTCAAAGGGGCTGATTCTCACAATCGGGCCGTATTTGCGATGCATCTCAGCGATTCGAAAAGTGTACTGGCCCCCGAGGAATGAATCGTAATAGAACTCATACCACATTGTCAGAGCGGCCAATTTTGGTCCGGGAAAATGGGCGAGTGGTGAAAACCATAGCCGATATGTTGCCAACCACACCCCATAGGTCATTCCAAGCACCCCCAGGGCCAGGATGGGCTGTGCGACAATGGCATTCCACCAATCCATGGTATTTTGATTTGGAGAGAAAGAAGAGACTCGTAGACGAGGAAAGACGCAAACCCTGACCTTCCAGTTCGGGGTGTCTTCTTGAATTGTTGCCCCACACCTGTCAAGACGGACATTATGCCACTAGGTCAGATAATGGATACAAAACGGTGATTGGAATCCGTCCTGTTGGTAACTTCGAGCGTCGTATCTTTGTGGATAGGGAAGGATCCAACCTATCGCGGCACATCCGTACCAACAGAAATAGCTAATCATAGGGATATTAGTTCCGCTATGGGTCTGAAGAATGTGTCCAGAGCTTAGGATCATCCATTTCACTCCTTCTAAGAGGTCCGGATTTATGACATCCAAGCCCCGTCCAAGGGCACGGGGCCGCGCCCTCGGCGGAACCTTCAGGATCTGGACAAAGCGTTAAAACTGCCGACAGCTGAAGAATCATAATCGTAACGATGAATCATGATGTACGACGATTAAAGAATTGTTGTCGCTTTCATTTTTTTACTCCTCATTGTACTCCATGCATTCCCTTTGTCTTCAAATGGATGTGACAGATCTGTAGGTTCATGTGGGAATATTCGAAATGCCTCATAGACAATGCGATTGTTCGAAATTGCATGAAACAGGAGACACAATAATTCTTAGGTATTTTTATCATTCGATGCGATAGGGCTACCGTAATATCACAGGCCGATCGAACCTTGAAGATGACTTGGCTTGGACACGGCACAGTCCCAACAAAGACGGCCTAGGAGACCGTAAAATAAGGGGTTTTCACACAAATCGATTTATATTGTCGTATAATTCCATACAGAGTACGGAGTTCATGTGCATAAATCAGCAGATTTGCTCCGGCCAATAATATGTACCTCGTATTCTTTGAACATCCTGCACATCCTTTAATTTGGCAAGCCACCACGACTCATCCTGCAGAGTGGGGAGGTGCGGAGCTCCCGCACTTCCGAATTTGTCTAACATTAAGGGGTTTCATGACTTTTGCTTCAAAGTCCAAAGTATTTGGTAGAAATGTGGAAACTTCCTATGCAGACTAAATTGGAGAGACAGATTTGTATACAACTATCGGTAATATCATCGAAATGGATTTCGACCTCCGAGCAGACCTTGAAAAATCAGCAATCGCAGCTAAGGCGCGTACCCTAAGAAAACTCTGGCTGTTAGTCAGGCTACTCAGTTCCCGTTGAGTTGATGGCACAGGTGGAGATGTTGAGACTGTTTATATTAAAGACAAGCTGGGAAATGGATCGTATCGTGGCGGAGTGTCTGTTGTCCAAATCCCAGCGCCCGCGTGGGTTGAGATGAGCATCGTGCCATGTGTACTCTGTAGTTTCTGGGTATATCGATGACGCTGTCAAGCTGCCGACACGAGCAATCTGGGTACGTCCTGGTTGTTAAGACATTGCTGACCGATCAGATTCACGGAGATGATGGATATTCTCGTCATTACCCCTTTGAACATGTCGTTCACAGAGGAGATTCAAATGCGGAGGATTGGAGCATAAATTTTCGGATTTGCTGGCCCAAAGAAAAATGAGATGGAACGTGCTGAGCGTTTGGAGGCCAAAATCTGATTTGACCTCCCCTGAACCAGGTACTTCGGTTCGGGACCAGGCCATTCTGACAGAAGTACAGCCGAATCTGCATCGACACAGGAGATAGGAGTACGTAGTTACCCGTAGGTAATAATAGCAAAGTACTAGGTATGACACATTTCAGAAGATCTCTCGCATCATTTTGTGTAAATATATGAATGCGCGTTGTACGGAGTTCGTAGTCACCTTGTGTACTTTTTGTGGCCGGAAATACCAGGCCGGAAAGCCACGTGGTCTTTATCCTTGTTGCCTTGTTGCCTTGTTGCCTGATTTCTAGAGCTTCAAATTTTTTAGTTCATCTACCGAGGTCTTCCCGTACAAGACAAGTGCATACAACATACGGAGTACAACATACAACACTATTGTGTCCACGTGTAGGTGCTATTTAGTTGAAATAGTGGCCTATACCACCGAAGCCGTTTGGAACATATGGATAGTGCAGGTGCACTCACACAGGTAATATAAGTCTTCATGTCCATATCTTCTTCTTGGGAATGAATCCCAAAGATTTTCAATGTGAACTTCGTTATTAAGTAGTTCCTAAAGACCTATACCTCTCTTTGGCTGTTATTTGCCTTTATGTCTATGTATGTATCTCCGAAATATCGGTACTTCCACTACAGGTACCATTTACAATGTCTTGCCTTCCTTTCCGGGTGGTTCGGTGCATCTGTTACCTAAAAGATTTAAGAATTTTTACCTCTTTACTCCACCCATGGATCTCTTCAAGGAACCCCACCGAGTTCGTTCAAGCCTCTGCAGAATATTTTCAACTCTCGACAATCGTGAAACGGCATACCGGTGACCTTAGTGACGGTCATCTTGTTCAGATCCCATTTCCAATCGGATACACCCTGTGGCGGCCCTGTGATGTCCGACATGGTGTCTCACGATGCTTCCGCGGCACATGATACCAAAACATCTGCAAATGTGATCTCTGTAGAGTCGGACAATGTTTTTCGAGACACCAAAGAGTCTGATGCCGAGCAAAATCACGCGGACACCTCCAACTCTGGGGAACTCAAGCGCAGGCTGAAAAGCAGGCATTTACAGATGATTGCAATTGGTAAGTCTTGATTTTCTTGGTCAAGATGGGTTATCGCAGATGCTAACTGGCTTCGGTCGCAGGTGGAACTATTGGCACAGGTATACTATCTTGCCCTCAGGTCCTCGGCTAGCAAATCCAGAAGTCTGACCTATCCAGGACTCTTTATTTCCAGTGGTACTGCCATCGCAGAATCCGGCCCCGCGGGCGCGTTGATCGCCTATATATTTGTCGGCTCCATTGTCTATTCTGTCATGAGCTCGTTGGGCGAAGTTGCAACCTATATTCCAATGCCCGGTGCCTTCACATCCTATGCAGCCCGGTTGATCGACCCAAGTCTCGGATTTTCCATGGGTTGGATCTATTGGTTCAACTGGGCCTCCACATTTGCTGTCGAACTAACCGCCACCGGTACTATCATCCAATATTGGGATCCAAGCCTAAACATTGCTATTTTCATCGGAGTGTTTTGGGTGTTCATCACGGCTATGAACTTCCTCCCTGTCAATTTCTACGGCGAAGTGGAGTTCTGGTTCTCAACTATCAAAGTGGCCACTGTTGTCGGCTTCATCATTTTTGCCATTTGCATCGATGTCGGAGTTGGGGAGCAGGGCTATCTGGGCTTTCGCTACTGGAGCACGCCACAGGCTTTTGCCACGTATAGTCCCCATCTACCGGTATCTGTAGGCAAGTTCGTTGGCTTCTGGGCGGTGCTCATCCAAGCCGGATTCTCTTATCAAGGCACGGAGCTTGTCGGTGTGGCGGCTGGAGAAACCGAAAACCCACAAAAGACGGTCCCATCAGCTATCCGCAAGACGTTTGTTCGAATTCTTCTCTTCTTTGTCTTGACGATTTTCTTCATCGGGCTCGTGGTCCCCTATGACAACGGCCGCCTCACCACGGCGACCACCAACGCATCATCCTCGCCTATGGTTATTGCAGCTGATTTGGCAGGAGTCAAAGTTCTTCCAAGCTTGATCAATGCTGTGCTCTTGTCCGTGGTCTTATCGGCCGCAAACTCCAATGTGTATAGCGGCAGTCGAGTCCTCACTGGATTAGCACATGAAGGGTTTGCCCCAGCCTGTTTCGGTTGGGTAACCAAGCACGGTGTTCCGTATATTAGCGTGACATTCACCGCTTTGTTTGGCTTGTTAGGTTTCATGAACGTTTCCAATGACGCAGGGCAAGTTTTTACCTGGCTGGTGAATCTTTCTAGTGTTGCGGGCTTTGTGACTTGGGCCTCCATCAATGCGTGTCATATCTCGTTCATGCGGGTATTGGCAACCCGCGGGATTTCTCGCGATACGCTTCCATATAAGGCCGTCTTGCAACCATATCTCGCTTGGTATGGTTTGTTTTTCAATGTTCTTATCGCCCTCACCCAGGGTTTCACTTCTTTCATCCCACATTTCCGGGTGACCGACTTCTTTGTTGCCTACATTTGCCCCATCGTCTTTGTCGTGCTCTATATTGGACACAAGGTGATTTTCCGTCCGTCATTTGTCCGTGCCGCCGATGCCGATATCGACACTGGCCGCTTGCACTATCAAAAGCAAATCGATCCTCCCATGCCATGGTACTGGAGGGCCTGGGGCTGGTTCACAAATTAATACAGCATAGTCATCCATAAGAACTTTTATATATGATTTGTTTTGACATGTAGGCATCCATAGATGGATATTTGCAGTGACCCTACGTAACAATGATTTTTCATACATCCATGAGCCATTCTTGGAATCATGTATTTATCATGCGTTGTGCTCTTACCAATAATCATCTAGAAGGACACCTAGCCCCAGATTCTGTAAAACACCCTCGAATCTCCACATGACCGGCTCACAAAGCATCGTTGTATGTTGCCGCGGTTTTTATATCCACTTTAAGTGCCGGGCCACCACAGATAATCCGCCTATCAATGCAGTTGCGCCGGTGCAAACAACGAGTGTCCCGTAGCCAGTGCCATATGCACCCAACGCATGTCCTCGCCAGTTGTCTGCCTTGAGCAGAGCCTCACTTAGGGGGCCACTTGCCACATTGCCAATTCCACGCCCTGTTTCCATGAATGGGAAAATGACAGTCGCGTCTGCCAATGGATTGGCCTTCTGCACCTCGTTGGAGACACCCGCCCATGTGGAGGAAAAGCCACCCGCGAGAAGACCATAGGCGATACAAAAGACGTATAAAGGGGGAATAGTGGCAGCAAACCCCCAAACAAAAAAGACTGCGATAACGGTACCGACAGTCGACATCAAAATGCAGGTAGTGATGTGATATCGGTCGGAAAGGAATCCCATGATGACAGAACCAAACACTGCAAACAAATTCACGAGCATTACGGTGAGAGACGCCATGTAGTCAGTCGCACCTAGACTGCGTGCGTAGGTCGGAAGGTATATTGTCGGCAAGAAGAATCCGATTGCTTCCAGCGTGTTGCCGAGCTGGTAAATTATAAAAACTTTGTTGTATAAGAATCGAAAATTCAAACGGTGATATGCAACTTCTGTCGTACGCAGCCTCGGTCGATGAAAGTAGAGAAAAGGCACAGCAAGAATGAACAATGCCACTGAGGATATTTGAAGCGTAGCCTCAATGCCATACTGGTTCAAAAGCCACTGGATGGCAAGTGGGAAGACAATTCCGGATACACCGGACCCGCCCTAAGACATATATCAGTTCGACTTTCCATCAGAGGGAGCTCATGGTGCAGCATTCTGTGTAACTCACCCAGACAATACCAAAAGCCAGCCCTTTTCGTTTATCGAACCACTCCGACATGAATAGGATGGTGGGAGTATAGGCAAAGCATCCACCAATTCCGAAGCCGATTCCTTGTGACAAAATAAGATGCACGACGTTGGTAGAGAAGGAACTCAGTGCCAAAGACAAACACATGATAACAACTCCTATGGTGGACACCCAGCGAGCAATTTTAGGCACTAAGATCATCAAAATTATTGCCAACGGGGCAATCAGATATGCGATACCCTATATGTTGTGTTAGCGAGAGAGGGCGACCTTGAGTATCTTGCCAACCAACCATCGCACAAGTGCCAATAATTGCAATGTTTTCGGATCCTTTGAATGGCTCGTGTGTACTATAATAGTCTTGGAATATACCAAAGGCGAATGCATAACCTAGTCGCGTGTTAGTTTCAACAAAAATCCATCTTCGACCAAGAACAATAAGAACGTACCCCAAACTAGAGCTTCGAGCATTGCAGATGCCATAAGAAACAGCCATGCTTGAACTCCACCATCAACCGGCGGCAACTTCTCATCGTCTAAAATGATTCTGCTGTCGGACTGTTGGTCGAAGGGTATGAAGGATGTACTCCGGCTGGTGAAACTAGGAGAATACTCCTTAGGCTCCATGATGCAAAATGACCCACGATTCTAACCACATGCGTGATGGATATCTGGAAGTACAATGGGTTTGTGTGTGGAAGCCACGGGGAGAACCTCCTTTGAAAAGGGTTTATATTCAATGCGGCCGTTTGACAAGAAAGCCAGGATCGGCCTAGAAAAAAGAAATAAGCTAATGGAAGCTAGCTGCATGACGAAATAAATCTCCTTGACAAGAATCCACCCAATTGGAGTGCAAAGAAGATAGCGCAAAACCACATACCTGGAATCCAGGTAGACTGGGGTCCCAACAATGTGATATTGAACCCCTAGATGTACCGATATGGTCCGTTTCAAAGTCACGCGTCCAAATAGACTGTACCGTGGTGATCTAGGTCTTTGGTTGATTCTAGTAAACATCTCCTCGGTGGAGAATGTATTCTCTGTCGTTCTTCGCTCGCTGCTAGGATATTAGGCAGAATGTTTCAAGTTACTGCAATTCGAGGCCGCGTCGATCGGGTGCGGGATCTGCTCCAGAAATAGTCCGAATGAAATGACAACGGTCTCCCCTAGGGCTGGCAGACTGTTTAGGTGCACGAACCGCCCCGCTCGGCGGATAAAATGGGAAATGGAATGTTGATCGGGGATCATTGCATAGCAGAGCTGGTGGGCTCGGAGAATTCCATGTTGATAACAGGTTTCCGACCCGCTGTCATTGGCAGAGATAAGAACCAAAGGAGACTCACTTTTGTCCTAATGGATGAAGCTTCGTCGCTGTGTAGATCCAATCAGTATATATGCTCCCATTTCTAAATGAGGTCATGCACAGACGTTGACTCTTTGAATGCGTTAAACTCGTTGGATACTACCAAATGACATAAATTCCAGAATCACATGTCTTTAATAAGATATCGTCAGCGAACGGGACAATAAACAATATACATACAATGTCATACCTCTTCGAACGCTACACGGAGGGGTTGAGTGACATTCCAGCCAACGGAGCTACTACATGTTCTTCCATTGAACCAGATAGCACCGTCTCCTGGCATTATTAGAGATTCCACTCTTATCACAGTCAAGGGCATTAATGTCCATCAATTCTTCACAAACCAACTCGGTTCCTATCATGGTCTGCGGGTACAGTCATCGTGCATTGAGTCCCAATGCTTTGTTGGTGGCGGAAAACGGCTCAAATATGTTTTGGACGATCGAAGACGATCTGTTGGTTTGTCTTGTTATTTAAATGACTGATGAGGTTCATATGGCACATGGTCTAGATGATTTGAGAAGGAGGTCAGTTATGCCCACTTGGACATCTGAGGTTGTTTACGTAATCTGGTGATTCCGGGTGCAGGAGACCATCTTGCTCACATTTTGAACAACCACCGTATAAGACATTCTATGTCGTCGAATGAATTTCCCAAGATATATAGCCTCAGTTCTGACCGGCTCAACAGGTAAATTACGCCATTTCATAATGGATTTGTAATAGGCATGGTCCTTCTATTCTCATTCTCAATATCATTGAATTGAATTGAATTGAATCGAGCTGGGAGTTCCAGACTGCGACTATTGACAGAAGGGAGTTAAGTCTGTAGGGACTCATATCCCGAGGCGATCGAAGTGGAAAGTGTATTGCTCACCATCCCGAGAGGCCTCCGTATAGGTCAGACTGTCGCCAGCAGGAACGTCAGTTGGAGGCGAAACATGATCAGCAAAACCGCAATTTTCATCCCAAGGCAGAATGAAGAGGGTCTCATTTCACGAAGGCGAATGTCGCACGGCCTCATAGATGCTCTTGACGAAGACCTCGTCCATATTAATGGGGGATGGAGGATGCATTGACATGTAGGAGCGACACTCGGGGTTGATCCAAGTAAATTGTAGCAGAATCCCAGCTTTGGCATCAATATAGAACTGGGAAATCGGAATGACGTTATCTTTGCCATTCTTCGCAATATTTTGAGTACAAAAAGAAAAAGATCAGAAGTTCCTAGTTTTTGTGACATATGATATGATTCACCTTCTGAGTGATCAGAGTAAGTGGTGGTATATATATCGTACAATATCCTCCAAGTATTCATAGTGAGATCGGGTGCATTAGCGGATAACCCCTTGTATTTGCTTTATAGAAATGTTCAGGTCACCGCATAATCAATGGCCGCGCTGTGGATTTTATACTTTTGTTCGAATAATCATTTTCTGTCTTATGACTATCATTTTACTTCATTTTGCAGACTACTAGAGTGTTGCATGATGAGTCGAACTACACTGTCCCGTGAAAAGGTCAGCTTTCTAGGTCTCGGCGCCGAAAGCAGCACCATGGGAGCAGTTCCAGCAACCCCGGTATCCAGGCCGATAACCGTCTTGGTATTAATGAAGGTGGGATTTTGCTTCGATGAGCGAGCTTGCTCTAAGTGCACCAACAATGGCCCCGATATCAAAGCAGCCGTCTGCCACTTCAATTTGATACTATAGACCAATTCAAGCCTGACGTAATGTAATGCCGACACCAACTGCCAACCCCCACTTTTTGACCATTGTATTCCTTCAAAATGATGACTGGCAAAATATCGACTCGATCACAGGAATTGGGTCCTTCGAAGAGTGGTCGCCAGGGCTCAAGAATGTGTTGTGCCCAGTACAGTCAGGGCCGCTGTACTACAGTTAGTGACAGTCCAATTCTTGATCGGCACCCGACTTACGTGAAGAGACGGCATGGCTTTTTCAAAGACACGGTGAGAACGTCCCTGTGACTCATTAGTCTCTCTCAACCGAAACATGGTAGGTGGAAATCTATCTCACTCTTCCTCGATCGGATGGCAATCATTCAATGGCACATCAATACCACGGCTCTTATCGGCCGTTTCAATGCCCACCTGCATGGTCCTGTTAGCATCAGAGCGTGGACTTCAGGAAGAACATACGCACGAGTGTTCTTTTGGGATTCTTCGCTGCCGATGCAGAAAGAAGCATCAAGCTTAGAAGCGACAGCTGCTTGAGACCGTACATGATGCTGATGACAAACAGAGGTCCGATAATGGTAGTAATATGATGGTACTCCGTATAGGATATGTACTCGACGGTGCCTGCAAGTAAAACGCAGAAGGCCAACGACTCTTTCAGCAAGAAGATGCCAGCTGTCTTTCCCATTATCCCTTGCGTCTGTTTCTCCGAGTGCTAGGGTTACGGCCAACTGTATCGTGAGGTTCACACCCTTTTTTGCTGTGATCTGCCCTATGTAATAGGGAGCATATCGTGGAGATCAGAATATGACTGCTGATTCGCACTGCACGGAGTATCGAAGGTTATGGTTGAGGTGCAGTGTCGATCTAGGAGTACCCTTGAATCTTGGGTGATTCTGAATTCTATGGATACCCATAGAAGATAGAGCACATTCTGCAAGTAACGTGAATTAGTTAATAAATACTCGTCAAAAGACTTCTGAAGTCTCCAATGTCCTAAGGAGTGGAAGTGGCCAGGCGATGTCTCCCGGTTAACCTCCACTTCAACAACATCAACCTCGATTCTTTTAGTCGAGTCTCCTTTCTTTGCATTTTCTCGACTACGCTCCTATTCACAATCCAACAAAAACTCGGCGGTTTTATTATTTGATGAGTTGATTCATTTTTTATTGGACTGGGACAACCGTCGCATGTTTACGCCATGAGCGACTGGTCCCACCCTGACACGACTGCATCCAATTCCACCGGTGCTGCATTTACTCCGCCCTACTGAATGCGTTCCTCGCGAGATCCGCCCAACAGATGGAAAGGAAGAAGGGGGTTCAAGACTCATATGACAGCCTGGAGCTTTACCAGGAAGCGATTCGCCTGCTAAGCCCCTTACTGCAAATGCGCGATCCTAAAGTTGTCGGGGCCTACGTACTGCTCTGCTATCTTGAGGATAATGTCTGCTTGCGCGCAGGATTGGCGCCGTCATTTGGAGGGATGTACGGCATTTTTTTTACGCCTTCGAAATGAATGGGTTCAGCAGCGGTCTTCTCGAGCAGTGTTTTGGTGCTACGCACGCATTGGTATTGGTGAGAATCCATCTTGTTACATTTTTGCCACACGACAGCGCATGCATCCAGTGCGACATCGGGTCAGTCGAGTTGTTTTTGATGCTTCATGGCAGCATATTGGAGGCTCCAGGGCTAGGGGAGCTCCAATCTAGAAGGTGCCAAGCCTCCAGATTAGGAAGGTGCAAGCACTATCCCTGACCATCACCTGATTTGATTTGTCACCATGTTTACGGTCCACGGGTTGCCGTGGCGGCAGGAACTTGTTGAGAGTCAAACCTGACATTCAATAATAAATGCTACCTAGGAAATCATGATGAACAATCGACACTTGGCGCAACTACGGTTTCTTCCCTGCCAAACCTCGACTCTTCTTCCATTCGTCCACGATTCCAGCATACACCGAAGGCCTATACACCCCGGTCAGCTCAGTGTAGAACCCACCTCCGAGCCGGTGGGGATTCAGTCCCAAATCGCGCAGTAGCAAGTCATTGTACTGATCGAATCGTTAGATTACGATGTCCTTGTGGTTTCACGCAACAAACATACCTGGATAGCTTCAACTTCAAGGCCAGTTCCCGTCAATGAACCCAGGACCACATCCTCGGAGATAGCGTTCTCCATAACCTCCAGCGGAATATTCCCAAGCGAAAAAGCCTGGTCTTGGATTGACTTGATGTCCGCGGGGGAGTCAAGCCCTCCTGTTAAAAACGCCGCCACCCAAAGAGCTTGAACCTCTGCAACAACAGCAATGGTTGATGATAAAATCACACCGAGCGTTGCGAAGGAGCGGTCACCTCGTGCGACTAATTCGGGGGCAACCATGCGGCGGAACAAGCGATATGGCACCAGCCTGTGAGATTCGGCCCACGAGGGAGGACTCCGATCTGTGAGAGCGCATCTTGTCGCATTCAAAGTTTTCCTGACCATAACCTCGGAACATTGATCTAGATTGTCCCAGCGTTGGATACGGTCATTCATGGTTGCCTCAAGCGGCCCATTGATTCTCTCTGGTGTTTCCACGCGAATTTCACGATCCTCTCGAAGATCCTCGCCCTCTGAGTCCACGACGGCTGACAACCCCAATTTTAGACGAAGACTTGCAGGTTTAAACCTAATCGGCACTATTGGCTTATATCCGGTGGCGTGGATGACCAAATCGACTTCATCAATACAATTGCTGTCTGCCAAGTGCACCGAAGCTTTTGTGAATGGATGCGTGGTCTTCTCCGGCCTGGTAGCGACAATATCCATGATGGCTGATCGGTAAACGTTGACATGGGGTAATCTAATTGTTTCCCAGAGGTCTTCCTGGTTTGCGATGCCAATACCGGATGCGCATGAGACAACACTAGAAATCATCAGTCTTCAAGTAACACAAATGACCTCTCATTAGACTTACCTGTTCTCTGGGCGAAGCTTTTCCATCTTCGGACCTGAGCCATATTGCGCTGTATCCTCTAAGCCTTTATCAATTGATCGCCAGAGCCAACGAATCCACCATCGGCCTATTGGGTTGCCATGGAATAGCCGGGCTAGCCATGAGCCCTCCCAACGGAGACCCCCGGGTCCGAGAGACAGACGTTTTGGAGTCTCATAGCAGCATGGGGTGAGATGGCTGAGCAGTCGGCTGCTGGCAGCCTTATCACTTGCAACGGTGTCGCCATTCGGGAGAGTAGACCTTGGCGGTACCATCCACGCGGGCCCTACACCTCGATCACGGATGATCCAGTGTACCTGAACAGGAATTTTCTGTGTGGACTTGAGGTGCAACTTTGGGTCGTTGCGATGTAGAGTTGCAAAGAAATGCACCAGGTCAAAGGATGATTTTGCACCACCATAAATACCGACCGAGCGCAATTGTGGGTAAGGGGAATCTGTGACTGACATTTTAACAGCCCCGGACTCAGGTGCTTTCAGTGGCTGGTATCCCAGGTGTTTTCGAGCCCAGTCTCCAATATCCTTTGCATGGATGACCGGGGGAGGGTCGTCGGACGCCGTTGATGACTCCTTCGTATCGGGCATATTTGGCACCGAGGTCAGTCCTGTAGCCAACACCAACTTATCGCAGATGATGGTGACGCGTTGACTCGGCGACGTGGACACACTGATGTCGAGCTTCCACTCTTTAGTGTCTAGACGGCTGATGTCGTCGACCTATCGATCATTCAGAAACCCCGCAATTTTAGAATGGATTGAGAGTATCTTACCGTCCAGTTCAATCGTATGTGTTTTTTCAGCTGCCATTTCTCAGCCCATTCACGGAGATAACGGTTGATCTTCCAGCCCGCAATGAACTGATTCTGTGTGTCATCCCCTTGTTCCTCCGGAACAACGTTGGAAAGAGGCATATCACTGAATTCATAAAGTCCATACGAGTTCTGACTCAACAAATTTGGGTAAAGACGCTCCTCGGCCCAAGTACCTCCAATATCCGAGGCAGAGTCAATCACAAGAAGGCGACATTCGGAGGAGGCTGTTGGGGAAGTATCGATGCTCTTAGTGAAACAGGCAGGGATTTCCGTGATTTCATCGGTATGTTCGGCTGTGCTTTCGTCGTCATATGCCGCGACAAGTTGTAGATACGTCTTGGCTGCGATGAGACCGTAAAGACCTAAACAAGTTAGCCAACGTCCAATTTAGTCGTCAACTGCTACCAACCGGCTCCAACGATCACGACTCGTTCCATGGCTAAAATGATTGAAGAGAGAGAAGTCAGGGGAGGGAAAAAGACGGAGTTTTGAATCCCAAAGTGTACAATGAAAAGGTAACAATACGAAGAATAGCTCGGAGCTGCGAGGATTTTGATATTGTTCTTGTGGGGTCACCACAACAATGAGAATTCCATTTGAAATATTGAAAGTAGTATTTTGGAAATATCAGACAACTTGTAATGGAAATATAGTGACCGACATCATCTTCTGATGGTCAGCTGTACCTCGAACAGGCCGAACAGCGCGATTGACTGGCCTAACCATTCTACACGTCCAGAATCAATGCCCATGCTTGATATTGCAAAGACACGCCTACTCACTTCAGGCGATGTTTAGATGGGTCACTACCAATGTTGTAGGAGATGGAAGATAATATTCCTACTCCATACCCCGTAAGGATGTGGTCCCCACGCAAATGTTACATATTTGGTCTTTGTGGGCTGCCGTACCCCGTACCGCTCGTGTTGTTGACCTCGTCATCTCGCGTACTCCATACAACATCCTCCGTACAGCACACCTTAGTACATCGACAATATCCATATCGATGTATCGGCCTACTGTTCCCGAGCATGGAGCTATTTTCATATGACCAAGCCCCAAAAGTTCTATCCCCGATGTCTGCCTTCACCCGTGACGGGGTCATGACTTCCGCCTGTCAACTATATAACACCCCGGGTTTTGATGCTCGCTGCGGGATAGGTTGTGGGATATCTGCGCCTCACCCCAGATGAAGCCACTCAGCTCAGGGGTCTTTCTATCTACTTCACTGGCTGTTTTGCCTTCCCTCCCATGAGCTAACTAGGTACCTGAAGTCGCCTGCCATAGTTTCGGTTATACTCGATCGGAGCCCTCGGTCATATCGGCACCGCCTAGCCCGGCAGTTGCTTCACGGGCTAATCACATCTCGGCCGATGGTTTGAAATCCCTGATGGCCGGATTTATGGATCTTTTCCCGCACCTGGCATCAAGGGACTTTGAAAAGGCGGGGATTTGCTGTACAACGGACATTCCGACCGGCGATTTCATCTTTGATTCCCCCTTGGAGCACAAGCCCTTGTTTATTGCTACTGGAGGAAGCGTGCAGTAAGTGAACCCAAGAATGGACCTTTTTCGGGGGATGTTAACTAACATTCTCATATCCAGTGCGTTCAAGTTCCTGCCTGCCTTCCGAGAATACATTGTGGGAAGCTTCCAACTCAGGCTTTCGCGGGAGTTGCTTGACAAATGGAAGTTCCCTACGCAGTCCCGTGGGCGTTTCCAGGAGATATTCAGGGGAGATGGACGTCGTGGAGGACCAGAGCGAAGGGAGTTGACTGCTCAAGAGCTCGGCACATTTGACCCGGCATTGAAATATTGAAAGCTGCTTCACCTAGGCCAGGCAAGATTTGAAGCTGCGAAGGACACAATCCAGGCAATATATCATGTTATAAAGAGGAGCAGTCACCAATTTTCGGAGCCATTACATACCTTGAACGAACCAGGGCACGCTAATGATATGAAAACATCAGACCCCTTACTTTTCTTCAAGGCCACGAAAGACGATTTGAATGATAGATGGCCCGACTTTATTTACCTCAGCCAGTCAGGCCGAGGCTTCATTGATGGATTAGGATATGCAGTCAAGGCTTGGAAAGTTGGTTGGCAATTCTGATTTGAGAATTGCTTGCCTGAGAGGACAGTACTAAATCCGAGAAGTAAAAAAGACCCGAATTGATGCGCTTTCTTGTTTCGATCTCCGGATCATTCGAGAGATACCCGGGGCCTTCTCATTTTTATTCAGATATTTTGTATTTTGTGATCAATGAGGATTCAAACAGTCTTTCATTCGCGAGTTCGGAGAGATACGAAGCTTCTTCCATTTCATGGAGTAAAAGTGCCATCAGACATTTCCACCATTACCTTCACGAGGGGACACAAACTCTGCAATCAAGATATTCGCATTTCAATACAGTTCCTACATTGTGTCCTGGAATGTCAAAATAACGAACGGCTCATCGGGGCCCATTCGATAAACTCATGAACCGCTCATGTGATCGGCTGAGGCTTATACGGGGAAGTTTTATAAGTTTTATACCAAGATATCCTGCCTCCAGCCTATTCGTCCAAAAACAATCTGATATCTATTTCCAAGTTCGGTAGCTATCACGATCTAGCCTGTTATAGAATATCAAATGTTTTATCTTCATATGCAGTACAACGTATGTAACAAGCCGGGCAGGAAACCCGACCACCCGAGCGGCGTTCACCCTTCGCGGAAATTGCAGCCGATTGTCTCTCTGATCGTCGTGGTCTAGTGGGAAAAAAAGGTTAGACGATCAACGGCTTCGCCTCCGCTCCGATCTTGTGATCGGTCGAAACCCGTAGAATTCATATCCTCATTAGGAAGTATGAACTCATGATCATGATGGTTGTCATTGGGATCGCGATCTATATTAAGGGACTCGCCTTCTTCTGATAGAGTTTCAAGACATACCCATTGCGCTGCATTCCTCCATTGCAGAAAGACTTGTCTTTTAACCTTCGAAATGTCAACGCTCAAGAATTACTTCGGACTTGGGGGAACCGACGCCCATTCCACCCCTACCGACAACAATTCCCCGGCTCACCCTCTCCCTTCCTCGTGGTATTCTTCGCAGGATATACATGAATTGGAGCGACGCGCCATATTCTGTCGGAAATGGCTTCTGATCACGCACAAGTTGCGTTTCCCCAAAACAGGCGACTGGCTCCGATACGACATCGCCGGGTACGCTTTTATTTTGGTGAAAGACCGGGAGGGAAACGTCAATGCTTTCCACAATGTCTGTCGGCACCGTGCATTCCCAGTGGTTACCGAAGAGGGTGGTACCTCCCGGATTTTCTCTTGTCAATATCACGGATGGTCCTACGGCCTTAATGGCAAGCTTGCCAAGGCACCCGGATACCAAGAGGTGGAAGGTTTTGACAAGAGCAAGAACGGCCTTCTTCCTATCCACGTCCATATTGATGTCAACGGTTTTATCTGGGTCAATTTAGATGCCAGCGAAAAGCCCGAGATCTCGTGGGAAGACGACTTTAAAGGAGTCGACCTACAGCCACGTTTCACGGGTTTCAACTTCGAGGACTATGACTTTGATAACACCGGGGAGATGAGTGGAGAGTACAATTGGAAGATTATGGCAGAGCACTACAACGAATGCTACCGTTTCTCAACGACTCAGTCCGACACCTCGGTTTCCAATCTCGATTCATACGCCGTGGATGCCAAATCCACAGCCGAGGAGATTGCAAATGGGCTGAAGATTGCCAGCACTTACTACTTCCCCAATGCTACTATGACCGTCTCGTGAGTGTGATTGTCCGGCAATGTAATCCGATTGATGCTAATTTTGTACGCAGGCCACACTTCTTCTTCATGCAGCGACTCGTGCCTACGGGCCCCACAACATGCTCAGTGCGCTATGACGTTTACCGCAACAAGAAATTTAGCGCCGAAGAGTTTGAAATCATCAGCCAAGTGTACAAGCGCATTATGTCCGAAAACCAAGATCGCTGTGTCGAAACACAGAAGAATATCAACATGGGTAAAATCCAGCCCGCGGAAGAGGGACCGGTCAACTTCCAGACTGTCGTTCGTGACCTGATCACACAGCACCATAAGCGGGAAGAAGATGCCGGGGAACAATTTTGGCCTGCACGACAAAGACTCCCCAAGGGAGAGGCAGTCAGCAAAGAGGATATAGATTTCTGCTCTAAGCTGAGTAAGGATGGGTCACCTTTGACCTCGGGGGGTTGTTGTGGAGGAGGATGTGGAGCTGGACCTCCATCTAGGGCAGCAACAGCGCCGGAGACTATGGTGGTTTAACGATGTGCATAATAGCGAATGTTTCGTTGATTTTTTAGCTCTGAATTGTTCTTATGAAGATGACATGTTACATGCACAGGTACTCAAAGGTCATATGAATATGTTTATGATACGTAGGATTCCAATTTTACTATAAAAGAGACCGATTATAGCAGTCTACAACACACTTCTGGGTGACTAGCCCAGGCCATTTGGATTTGGAAGTAGGTCGCAAATGCCCTCGTCCATACAAAAACCCAATATTAGTAAAAGATAGAGAGGAGAATAGCAAACGGGATCATTTAACCCTTTTCAGTATAAAAGTTCAGGTTACATGCACATCCACGCACGTAGATTAGGTCGGGGGCACCTATGAGGCGAGGGGAAGAGGAAAAACCTCCCAAAAGACGCCCTTTTCCCCCTTTCTCCGATTACTCCAAGATAATCTCGTTATTATCTCCTAAACATGCCCCTCTCTTAATCTTGTCATGACGATCTCCATCTATCTTATCTCTTAACTAGTTATCTTAACTATCGTGCCTATCGCTCCAATACCCCGCTACATCCGCCCCGTTTTCTAATTTCCCCTTCAATGATGCCACGAGAGAGCGCGCGCGGAAGGCTACGTTCCCACGAGGCCTGTCTTAATTGCAGGTAATGCAAATACACTGTCTGTAAGTAGCGGGTGGCACTGATCTCCCTATAGAAGAAAGAAGACCCGATGTCCAGCCGAGAAACCGTCCTGCTCCAGCTGTGTCCGCCTGAATCAGCCATGTCTTTATACTACCATACCCAGAGGGTCTCGAGGAGGGCAATCTGTATGTACTGGCTTCTGGCTGTCGGTGACCAATCATTGACTTTTTTTTTTGTTCCTTACAGGACGACCGGCTAGCATTCCTCGAAGAGAAGGTAAACCTCATCCTGAGTGGCAGATCAACCCAAACACTTGCATCAGAAAAGACACAGGAGAAGGAGATAGGAAATGCAATTTCAGAAACATGCTATCCTGCCACAACACGTCCACCCTCCATTGAACCAAGCACGGTCAGTGACCCATTCTTCCTCGGTTTTGGCTACGAGGACTCGATCTCTCAGCCGTCATCATCTGCGATCGCCAAAGCTATTGATCTTTACTTTGAATATTGCCATCGACAGCCGATCTGGTGTTTTGATCGTGAGGAGGTCTCGGACCCAACTTATCTGTCAGAGGAGCTCGTTTGTTGCCTACTCGCCTTGACCTCAAGATTCTCAAGAGATCGTGACCATTTACAACATTATGGAGATAGTGCAAGAAGCCTAGTCATGCTTCGGATGGCTAACGGCACAGTGGAGCTTGAAACCATTGAGAGTCTTTGTCTACTCTCTTATTCGTCATTTCTAGGTATGAGCCTCGGCTACCAAGTCGAGAGGATTCCATTGTTAATATTATTCTAGACGGAGATATACACCTCGGTCGCTTCCATCTCGGTCTTGCTCTACATCTTTGCCGGTCGGCAACGCTGGATCTCGAATCGAGTCATGGAGGCGAAGGTCCCATGGCCGAGCGAAAGAAGCGTCTGTTCTGGAGTCTCCAATGTCTGGAGCAGTCCTACGGACAGCAAAATGGGTTTCTCTGTATCCCATCGGAAGTCCTGCGTACCTTCTATGTTGCCTCCAGTAGCGACCGCGCAAAACAAGATGGGACGGAGGCGAAACCTCCACCGCTGCCGACAGACGATCTTGGGTGCTCGAAACCATCCGACATGGGGATTTGGAGCTTAGCAGCTCATTTTGGCTGGGTATGGAGCAGAGTGCGCATATATGTCTCCGATTGTGCTCGAAATAGGCTCAAAGAACCCTGGCGAAACGATTCAATGTACGCCATGGTGCTTTCCGACCTCACAGAAATTGAGAACAAGCTTTCCCAGTGCCATCGATATGACTCGGTCAAATTTTACGAGCGAACAGCAGAGGAGCTGAGATCGAGCCGAAACTACTGGACCCCATGGCTGAAGCTACAGTTTACTTACCACTGCATTCTAACGGTTCTAAACCACCCCTTCCTCTACATTGTGGCATCACAATACAATGACAATTTGGCAATCCCAAACGCTTTCTGGAGACGCTCATCCGAGTTGGTCTTGTTACACGCTACCTGGCTTGTCCGCATGATAGACATGGTATCCGAGAAGAAGATGCGACTGATCGATCCGTTCTTCGGACACGCTGCCGCCATTGCAGCTACGGTGCATCTATACTACTGCTGTGCCGCGGATCCCCGGCTAAAGTACAAATCCAAGGTTGATTTCACAAAATGCCGAAGGTTCCTGAAGAGTTTTGTGTCCTTTTCGCCAGCTTGTGGGGTCTTGGTCGGTGTCATGAAATCAAACGGCCGCTTCCAATGCTAACAAACGCGCAGGATCAAACTTTGGACAAGATGACTCGAATTGCTTCCGGGTCGGAAAATATCGATCATGACTGGGAACCTGAGAAGATTCATCTTAGTATACCTTTAATGTGGGATGTTCTTCAAATCAACTGTAAACCCAAGCCACACGAAGTATCGACGGGTGGTTTGCTACATCCATCATTGACCCCAACCGTCTCTACGGAAGAGGCGGAGGACAGCCCTGCCTCGACTCTGGAGATTATTGTTGCGATGTCTCCCAATGTCACAGTCAACACTGCGGACGGTGGTCAAGCTGCGCACATTCCACCAACCAAACCGTGCATATCTTCCACGCCAGCTTCTTCCGGCCCTGATCCTGGCGAGAAACTCGTTGCGCCAGCTGACAGTTTAATGACCAATACCCCCTGGCTATGGACGGATCCCTCGCAATTCGTTGATATGGAGAACACTGTGGGATACGCAGATTCCGAATCCGCTCTCGGAAACATTGACGGATTTTCGACTTGGTGGGACTTTGGAAACTTATAGGAGTAATATGTTCATTGACTTCTACTGCGGCGTTACTGTCCTCCTAAGGCCGTAACTCTTGTCTCGACCCCCGCATTTATCTTTTGCCCCAAAGCCCCTATGCAAAAAAGACCCTTGTGCGGAAACACTCCTAACTGACCCCCAGATCAAAAACTTGATGCCCACGCGTCCTCGATCAAGTTATGCCGCTGCGACCGTCTTCAGCCTTTCTTGCAAGGCAGCAAAGTTCCGTTTCATAGCGGTTTCGGTAAACTGCGCCCCAGTCACCATCGGATATTTCTTCGAGGGCCCCTGGATTAAAGAATCCTTACAGGGCTGATTGAAGTAGGCAATGCTGTATCGGTCGCCAAAATAGTCCTCGGGCTCACAAGGGGCCTTGACACGATGAAAAGTTGACTTGAACCGGTCATCCGACCAGGACATGAGTAAATCGCCAATATTGCACACGATCTCACCAGTGTTGGCTTTCACCTTGGTCCATTCGTCCCCAATACCGAACTCTGTCACCACTTCGCGACCGGGACAGATTTCCAGCCCATCCTGGCCATCCCCTTGGAAAAGTAAAGTCAAAAAGTCCCAATCGGCATGTGCCCCTGCGCGATGATACACCTTGCCGTCGGGAACTTCCGGCAAGGCAAAGTAATGGAGTAGACGCATAGTTGTTTGCGAGTTCGGTCGTGAGATGCCATGACACTCGATGAAGAATCTCTCAGGGAATCCCAGGCCCCGTGCAAAGCATCGCATCAAACATTCCGATACTTGTTGGACGCGATTCATAAAATCAAGACAGGCGTTCCGGAAACCAGGCAGATCGTCGTACTTGAGCCAGAGGTCATTCATATTCTCGCCGAACTGCAACTGGTATGACTCTTTACTGTCGGGCTGCCCGGTAGACGGTCGGATTTGTGAGTTCTTTTCCCACCCGACATTGTTTGGATTCCACGGTACAGTTGCCTTGACCTCGTCCGATAGATCGAAGAAACTTTTTGAGATCGCAAACATGGATTGAATGTCTTCTTTGGAGATTCCATGATTGATCAAGGTGAAGAATCCGACATTCTCGGCGGCATGGATGAGTTGATCAGTAATTTCCTCGATGCGATCTTCAAAGTCGTGCATCGAGATACGTGGAATGACTCGGTCGACATATCGGGTTTCAGATGCCATGTCTCTTAGTAGTCCGGGAACTTCGCCCATGTGCACACGGTAAATTATGGAAGCTTTTATAGGTCACTCGGTATCACGTCCAATATACGTGCATGCTGGACGGAGGGGGGCTTCGAGCTGATAAGCAAGTCGAGAGCTGTACGCGGAGTAGGACGTCATCAAAAAGGTATATAGATGTAGAGAATCCGGACACTCTGCGTTGATAGGGCAGGATTATGGTCGAATCAATTCAACTCGATAAGACATTGTCAGCGCCTTGAAAGGTCAAATCAGAAAATGTACTTCAGGCACTCGGCCGAGTTCTCAGCTTCCAGGGATTGGCTCGGACTAAACGCTGCTCACGGGGTATCAAATTATCTATATGTCCAATATGTCCACATGTATCTACTAAATGCCACACACGCAAAAACAATTTGGGCGAGTGCTTGGTGTCAAAACAGATAGTGCGCAAACCTTCAAGATATGGCTCTATTGAACCTTGCGCACTTGGGTCACAGGTGAACGATATACTCGGCGACCGTGTACAATGTACAAAACAATTGCAAATATGACCACCGCTCCGAAGACAAGGATAGACCAATTCATATCCACCAGAGTCGGGTTATTGGTGGTTGGGAAGAAGGTGAAAATGATGGCAAAGCAAAGCCAGGCCAATGAGAAAACATTGATCGGCAATCCAAAGATACCGAGCGAAAATCGCGAAGGGGGAATACCACCCGGTTGGAAACGGACCCGAATGATGGCAGCAATCGGCAGGATGTACGTGGTGAAAAGTGCAGCGATCATCACAGATGCGACAGCATTGAAAGCCGCCGTAGATCCGATGTTGATCAAGCTCAGTAGCACGGTAATAATGGTCGATACCAACACGGAGAAGATAGGGATCTGGGTGCGTCGATTAACGTGAGCCAACTGCTTAGAGAACGGCAAGGCATCA